GTCAGCATTCAAGGCGGGCGTGGGTGCGCGTGCTGGGTGCGCCGCGAGATGGCGCGGGGGCGTGACGGGGCGGGAGCGGGCGGGCGGAGGGCGGGCGCGGGCGGGCGGAGGGGCCGCGGGCGGAGCGGGCGGAGCGGGGCGGAGGCGGGCGGGGTCGGGGCGGATCGGGCGTGAATGGGCGTCGGCGCTGGCGCGCGCCGCGCGGCGCGTATTTCGGGCCGCGCGTGGGCGGCGCTGGCGGCTGGCGCGCGCGTGACATCTGCGGGCGACGGCGGCAGCGGCGCGCCGCCCCCCGGGCGGCGACCGCGGCCTCTGCGCGCGACCCAGCGGCCCGCCTCAGATGGCAGCCGCCCCGGCCCCTCCCCACTTCCCATTTTCTACGCGCCCTGCCCGGATCGGCGCACGGGAGGTCGCGCCCTGCCCGATGCTGCCCAAATGCCTTACCCTCGCCACGCTGTTGTTGCGTCGAGAATAGAGGAGGCGTTTCATACGTCGCTGGTGACGTTTACTGCAACTGCTATCTTACGCATGCAAATGATCTCTTTCGGTTCCGAATGAGATGCCGGAGCAGTGGGGAATTGTTTTTTTTATACTCGATTTTAAACGGCGGAAACTCATCAAATGTACACGTTTTATGACAAGTTTGAGCACAACGAATTTTTGTGCGTGCCGTCTGAAGTACAGCTAAACGCACTACCCTTTCTGGATGCATCATTTTCAAGAGTTACGTTACGATTTCGCTAACGCAACAACTTGTTATAATTCATCGCACCAGCACTCGCGGAAGAAAATACTAGGCGTATACGAACCGAAACCAGTGCCAAGCGAAGAAGAGACGTTCTAAACGAGCGCGCGTGCGAGCTGGGTCGGTCGAGAACGTGGGACGCCTCGTCTCTAATTGGCGAGGGGCGAAACAATCGGGCTCTAGCGAAGGACGGGGCGAAGGGCGGCGGGGGCGGGGCGCGGGAACGAGAGGACAGCGTCGCCTACTCGCGGCCACACGTTGCGCCACACGTGGGCCGCGCGCGCGCGCGGGGGGCGGGCGGGGGCGGGCGGGGCGGGGCGCAGGTTGTAAACAATGGGGCGGGGAGGCCGAACCGGTCGTGCCGACCGGGGTTCGCCGACAGATGGGGCCGGAAGGGCAGGTGGCCCGCTGCGCGGTCGGGCAGGCTCCAGGCGACCGCGTGCGAGCTGGGCCGTGTTCCCAGAAGCCCGCTACGACAGAAAACGGAGCTGAACTTTTTGGCGAGAATTCTTGTTTCTGCTCGCGACTCAAGAGCGGGTATTAAAGACTCCTTGCTTAAGAGCATTACGTCGCAGTGAATGCAGATGGATTAGGCGCATTTGTTTGAAGATAAGAAGAACTACTGGATTATCACACAAAATAATTCATATTAGCTTAAAGATATCAAAAATTATATATAGAAGTACAAGATAATGAACAGTGATTAGGGTGAAATTTCTCAATTGATAATGAACACAATATTCAAGATTAGCTTTGAGATATCAAAATTATTATAAACGTTAAATAATAATGAACGTAAATTAGAGGAAATTCTATTCGCTAAATAACACAAATAATTCAAAATTAGCTTAAGGACTCAAAATTTATATAAACATAAAGATGATGACAGTATTTGAGTCGTAAAATATAAATGTTAGAGAATAAATATTACAGTAAAGAGATACAGTATTAGGTGAAATTCTATTGTTATAAAGGGAGCATTCAAGAGATCAGTCAAACTACAAGATTTTTGCTTCAAACGTCACGAATTAAAGAAAGAAACGCAAAGAGATGAAAGAAAAGAAGGAAGAAATATCGACTTGTTGGAAATAACTACGTGACAAAAAAAGAACTGAACAAGGGTGTGAGAGAATGCACCCAAGGGTTAGCTCAGCGGTAAAGAAAACACAAATAGCGGGAGATACAAATACTAGAGCGAAGCGGACGCGATAGGTAGAGGGAGCGGGTGCCTGAAAAACGTGAGATCGAAAGCAAAGATGACAACGCGCCGAAGACGAGCGAGCGAAGCCGAAGGCACGGGCGGCGCGGCGTGTTTAAAAGTGTTGAGAGCTTTTCAGCAACGCGATCGCCATTACGGTATTGACAACCGCCCACAAAGGGGTGTGCCGCCCTTGCGTCCCCACAGCTCCAACAAACGCGGGCGCACAAGACAGCCAGTAATGAGCCTTACACGGATAATGAAGCAACATTAACAAAGAATGTGAGCGCGTCTACCGGACTCAGCGTGGGGAGAAAAAAAATTAAAATAAAAAAAAAAACTTCCGTAAGGAAATAGACGAGAAGACGCGCGCTCGACGCGAAACAAAAGAAGCGAGGTAGCGTACGTACAAAGAGGGACTTTTAAGATTTCATTCAGAGCGGATCACTGAAGATAAATAGAACGAAAGAGAAAATAACACAGAGCCGAGAGATGGGCTCCGGGAAACAAAATACACGTTAATTGAAGTTCGGGGAAGCAGCGAACGGTGGACGCGGTAAGCGGAAATAGTAGAAGCCGTGGCCGGAGGGAATGAGACCATGGAGGGCGGTATCTGCGGGCGGGGGATTAAAAGCGATGGCAAAGGGGAGGACGGTTGCGTGCCTGGTTAGGACAAGCAGTAACAACGAGAAGGGACGTCAAATAAAGTCCGGTCTGCTGGAGAGAGTCGCCGTCGTAGTAAGTTTTCGGGAGAGAGATTCGACCTACAGTTTGGGCTGAGATAAATAATGGGCTGTACAGTTTCGTGTTACTATTTCATGAAACTAATTACAAAAAACAACGCATATTTCTTATTTGTTAGTTTGAATAGAAGTGATTATGTTAAAGAGCCAGCCTTGGTGGCAGCAACTTCATACTCTTCAAATCTGAAGCAAGTAAAATCTCCAGCCGCTCTGCTGTCTGCTCAAGCAGCATCGCTCCCTTGCTCCAGAGTCGCTTCGCGCACATTGCCAGTGGTGCCTCTAACGTCTCCCGTTAGTCGCCCGATCGCCAGGCGGTTGCTGGGCGAAGTTCGCCGCCAGCGCGCGAAGGCGCCACAATCGTACGCGCAGGGTCGCCGCCTTTTCGCCCCCGCCCAACCCACGCACGCACGCCCGCGCACGACGCCGCATCGCTTATCTGATTAATTGAACCGTTTCCATAGGCTGTCGGCTTATGCGCGCGCCCTTCGGCCAGTTTTGAAGCTTCGCGCCCCCGCCGCCGCCACCCCCGTTGTTTGCGCCGCCACCGCCGCACATCAAAGCGGAACTTAAAATCACCAAAGGGGTCTTTATCCCCGTGTCCCATGCGCGAGAGAAAAGAAAAAAATAGCGCCAATGAATGGCCGGCCGCGGTGGCGTAGCAGAAGGTTAGCAGTAGAAACTCAGCGGAGAGGTATAGACAATCTCTCCGCGGCCGGGGCGGGCGGTGTGGGACGCCGGGTGGAGCGGGGCGGGGGGGAGGGCTTATCTCTTCGTCCCCCCGCAGGTGAGACTGCATGCCCAGGGCGTGCAACGAGAAATGTTTGTGCTTTTACTGTTTTTCTTAAATTTCCTTTTTATGACACTACCTACTATGGGCGAACAATTTACTTCCCTCCCATTCAAGAGAGATTCTTACCCCCCGTCCCCCCACACACACCCAATCCCACTCTGAAAGAAAATTCTCGTAACACCATGCTACTCCCTTATAACAAGCAGCAAATTTTGAAAGTCAATTAATTGAAAATTTAATCTCCATAAAGTTATATTTTTATGTATACTGCACCATAAAGGTAGGCCGCATGGGCTGCATTCCAGAGACAACAGTCTCTGGACTGCAGTCCACCCACCCAAATGGAAATGGAGGGGGGGAATGATTTTTTTTAATTAATTCAAATTTAAAATGTTTAATTTCAGAATTGAAATTTAAACAATAATAAAGACCCTATCCACATCATATCGTAATATTATAAATAAAGTCAATGAAAATTATTTGTTCTATATTTTTCTGTTGTAACTGTATTTGAAAATTATGTAGCACTTCTTGAAATGCCCAGAAAGTCTTCAGCATAGTAATCATGCCCAGAAATGCCCATAAAATCTTCAGCGAAGTACATAATACATTATGTACAACATTAATAACAGCAAGTTTATCCCTTTAGCAACTGGTCACTTCAACTAAGAGATGCATGTCACACTCAGTGCTGAACCTTGAAATATGTATTATAAATGTTTTAAGATATGAAATCATATGAAAAGTGAGATAATTACCTTAAACACTGAATTCAGTGAATGTACTTTTCTTAAATTTGAATCAATTAAAATACATAAAGTTATTAATGGTGACATGTGTTACTGGGTGCATTCTCATGCCTCTCAAAAAAATATAAGTTATATGACCAAAATAAACTAAAAAGCTATGCAGATGCATGTAAACGCAAGAAATATATGAATACATACTGTAGATTGTTGAATAAGTGAAGAAAATTTGAAAAAACTATCTACTTACAGAAAATTTCACTTCTATGAACTGGCGCAGCTTAGAATGGTCTGCTAAAACACAGTTCTCGTTGTACTTTTTCACTAACACTACTGATAAAATGCAACAGTGCAATCTGTTAACCATTAGTGCCAAATACCTCAAATTGAAGCAAATGAACTGCAACATATCTTTTAGAGATATGAAAATTTGAAAACTGATCTTGCAGCACTCAGAGCTGCTACACGTGCCACAAAGAAAAAAATATATTAAATGATTGATTTAATTCATGAACAAATTGTTTATTTCTGTGAGGAAAGCAGAATGAATAATATCTGAAGACTTGGGACTTCATGTCATGTCTCTTCTACTCTCCTTACAGAATGATATATCATGATCTTTATGACAGTGACTTCCTAACAAACAGCATTTATAGTTGCAACTTAACAGTTAGAATTAAAAATAACAAGCTAAATACATTATGAACTAGAATGACTAGATTCAGAATTGTGACTGAATGTACTCTGCAAAATCTTATGTTTCTTTTAATTTTTTACAGGGAAGTTGGGCCTGCCATCACAAGGTTTGGTACAAGGCAAGGATGGTCTCATCTCACCTGAGAAACACCCTCACTTTCCCTTACATATGTATATGCCTGGCTCTCATGTAAATCCTTCAAAAACACATAGAGATGACCCTCCTCTTGGAGCAAAGGATGAGCAGGACTTCATGACAGCATGTCAAAGTGAGTTGAACATTGGTAATGTGGCAAAAATACACACTCTTACAAGAGATACACCAGGCTCTAAATTTAAAATATGTACTTTATTATCAAGTGAATGAAAAATCTATGAAATTAAATTTCGGAATATTTATTTTTCAACACATTTTTATTTTTTGTTGTTTTATTTTCCAGTGTGGGGTCCAGAGTCTGGATATAAAATTCCAGAAGAAGGAGGAGACAAAGGTAGGTTGGAAATTGAAAGATAAAATATAATTTGGGAATAAAAATGGCTGTATATTTAAAATGTAAACTCACATTAATATCTTTGCAGCTAAAATTATTAGACAACAGAAGAGAGAAGGTGAAAACAAACCCCACATAAAACGACCAATGAATGCATTCATGGTTTGGGCAAAAGATGAAAGGAGAAAAATTTTAAAAGCTTGTCCTGATATGCATAATTCAAATATTTCTAAAATACTAGGTAAGTCAGATTTGTAAAGCATTTTAAGAAAAATGTTTCAATTTATAAAAGTTTTCACAAATGAATTAATGGAAAAATTACAAAAATATTCTTTGCAATGGTTTAAATGTTAATAGATAAGCTAAAATTATTTAGTGCTATATATTAAAAATTTCTTGACTCTTTTTGTTGCCAAGAAACTGTGAAATATGATATCTATTTTAGAAACCTGTATTCTACGTTTTTCTTAGTTACAATATTCTCTATAAACTAATTATTACAAAACTGTGAACGCTGAAGAATTATACGTGAATTTATTTATCTGTACACTATTAAATTAAACTTTATACTATCAACAGGCCCCTAAAAACACTGTATATTATTACTTTCTCATTTACATATGGAAAGATATGAGAAAGTTATATAATGCTGTGTAAAATTCATTATGAGATTTCAATGGAAATACATGTTTCTGAGTCCCCTGATACAATATTACAATACCAAATAGCTACACCAGACTAAAGAGGTTAAAAAAATGAAATAGTACACAGAAAGTCTATGTTATTCTGTACTAACACTAGTTCTAGTACATCTCTCTCTCTCTCTCTCTTTATAAATACATCTCTTAAAGATAGTTTGTTTTTTTTCAGGTGCTCGATGGAAGGCCATGTCAAATGCAGAGAAGCAACCCTACTATGAAGAGCAATCTCGATTATCCAAACTGCACATGGAGAAGCACCCTGACTATCGTTATAGGCCTCGTCCCAAAAGGACATGCATTGTAGATGGCAAGAAAATGCGTATCTCGGAATACAAAATGCTAATGAGGCAACGGAGGCAAGAAATGAGGCAGCTGTGGTGCCGTGAAAGTGGACCAGAGGTTGGGTTCCTCTCTCCAGATATGTCATCACCGGGCACTTCAACCGCAAACAGAGCATCATCTTCTCCTCCATCAGGATCAGTGGGGGCGGGAGTGACTACAAATGGGGCAGGGCCCAGCTCGGAACACTCGGGTCCCTACTACTATCCTCCTGACAGCCTTTCTCCCGACATGTTGAACTTTTCTCCTGATCCTGCTGGGTCAGTTGGTGTTGATGCAAGTCCTAGGCAACATGATGAAGACTAAATCAATGCCTAGATTATGCCCAAACAGTGCTAGTGAGTGACAATTGAAGAATAAAACTGAAGAAACCAGTGTTTTCAAATTATTAGTTGGTGTATGGAAATATTTTGCAACAGCTCTCTGAAAAGGTCACTAGTAGTTTTTTCAAAGCTTTATGCACATGAGGCTAGAAAATAATATGGAATAAAACTGCTCAACAGTGATGATAATGTTGAAATGAAGGTGAAAATGAGTTACAACACTGGAAATGAAATTGTCAGCATAATGCAGAACCTTGCAGATCACATTCTTCAAAATAAACTGTGTGTAGCTGCCACAAATCAATCTTAATGTATTTCCAGTGATATATTGTGATGTAGAAACTATGTGAAAAACATTTTATGTTTTACTCTTTTACCAAGTTGTTTTTTTGTTTTTTGTTCTGTTTTTGTTAATTTTGTTCAGTAACTTTTTTACTTGACAAGTGTTTTCATCCCAGGTTGTGATAATTCAATATAGGTACCATACTTTATTATGGTATGACTTAAAGTCATTCAAACCTTTCACAGCAACTTGAATATTAAAAACAAGTCAGTTAATGGCAAAAGAGTTCTTTTTGCCTTATTCTGTGAACATAATTGAATTAATTGGATAGTTACTTACTTTCAAGTGCATTTTTCCTTGCCAACAGCTGCTACCTAGTAACACATCCTCATACAAAACCTTAACATTAAATGAAAAAGTATTGTGTGCAATTTTAAGAGAGCTGAAAAAAATCATTTTCATCTTCAGTATTACTGACATTCATGGGCTTTCCTCTTGCATTTTAAAATGTAAAATGTAAGAAAAGAATAACTCTCATAAGATATGCATTTTCCTTTTTTCAACATGCTCTTTTTTCTTGTTTATTTATTATTTTTAATAAATGTTTATATATGTTATTGAAATCCAGCTGTTGATCAAGACCAAATTTTTATGTAGACCCCATGTCACTACATTTCACATAGAAAAAATAAATAAACTATGTTGTGTGTCATCTCCCTCTCTTTCTGAGAAGTTCTTAATCATTAAATTATTTATTTATTTCACAATATAATAAATTTTGGGTAAAAGGTATGACTACAGAGTTTCAAAAATGGAAGTTCTCACCACATGTAGCAATCCCTTTCATTCATATCTCAAAATAAGATCTTGAATGACTAGTTGCTTAGCAAAGAGAATTTCAATTACAAGCCTACCTATCATGTAGTATCATTACTTGTAAATTACCACTGTATGTTACTCCATATGTGTATATATACATCCATTTACATAGAAGCAAGAATGCATTATTACACTGTAATATATATATCAATTTTGAATCAAAGATCTAGCCATAAACCCTGCCATATTTATTTCCATTTCAAAGGGGTTTTTAGGGCCAGTAACAGAACTACTTGAAACCTAATCATTATTCTATATTTATTATTCTTAACATATACAGACTGAAAACATTAACATGGGAATGAGTCAGTGAGAAAAACGCATTTGTAGTACTTGAATGTAGACAAGGTCTTTGATTGTTGGTAGGAATGGTGCTATTGTACTTGAAATCGTAATATCTTATTGCAAGTGTGTTATTTATTGGGTGTGTGTTAAATGGAAATTCCAAAAATTTGTTGCTGTAGTGTTAAAATATTGTACATGGAACATTATTGTAAAGCTGAATGGTGACTTTTTATATATATAATGGTGGTCAAAGTGTATCTACAAATGGATATAATGTTTCAACAATTGATTTTCTAGAGTAAGGACATTCAGAAAGAAATGTGATAATATGTGAGGTGCCATAGGAATTGTGTGATTCAAAGAACACCTGCCATACATGAAAACTTTTCGTTACTTTTGTTTCAAAATAAGAGTAATACTTCTGCTGTAAATTGTTCACCTAATATTGGTGTAAAATGGCTCGCAAATGGTGCCAAATATATTGAATAGAACTTAAAATAATGTACAAATCCCAAAGAAGTATGTATGTGTGTGCTGGAAGTGAATATTATCATATATGGTAAATAATATAGCCATGTATTAGTTGGGGGGAGGGAGGGAAGTGAAATAATAGACTAAACAAAACATTCTGTTGAATATATATATTTGGTGTTGTCAGGTGAGAAATATGGACTCTTAAGTTGCTGCTAGTTTTGTTCTGTGCCCAACTAGTGAAATATTGTTACAAAAGGAGAAAATCAAAGGTTATCCTTGTTTTCCAACTTATCAGCTTCATCCAGTCTTGTGTACAGTTGCAGTACATGTTGATGTCTTATTCTTGAGAACAAAAGAAAAAAATTAATTTACGTGACTATATTGTTGAATGGTACTACACCATGAACCTAACTGTTTTCATGTCTTCATGTACAGTTCGTAGGATAAATAAATGGAGATTTTTGAGGAGTATTTATTTTTCTAATTGTATGGGTGCCCATGTGATATTTAATCTAGGCTAATATAAAAATGTGATATAATATCCTTCTCCAGACAAATCTGAGACAAACTGGACCATTTTTATTTTCATTATACCTACAAAATGCATGCAATGATCTGCTGGTTATATACTTATGCATTTTGGTACCTTTCATCCCATTAATATTTTTTTTAACATTTTCATTACATCTTTTGAGAATAATTAAAGCGAATACTTCGTGTTAGTAATCTAATACACTAGATACTCTTATTAATGCCCAATTTATAGGAGATAATATTAATGAGGTTTTAGAAATGCTACTGCTGTTTTTTGCTTGCGCATAAAAAGTTTCTTTCCTCCCTCAGTAATTTACTTATAATCATCCCAAATCCAAATGCAACTATGGATGTGTGTGACTTGTTTAGATTGATGAGTGAGATTTTTAGGAATATACACAGCAAATTATAGCAAGTGACTAGACATCTCCTAACAGAGATGCAAATATTATTTCACAACCTCCAAAATCCAATCAAATTCAAGTAGTAACAGAGGCATAATTAGGAAAAATCGTGCCCAGGGCCAGCATTTCCCATAGCTTCCCTATCATGGACACTCCAGTGATGAAGTTTGGTTTGTACTTCCGAAGTGCAGTTTTATAATGACAGTATCTTTTGATAGAAACTAAAATATTACACTCAACAACAAAATGATTTATAATCTTGTTAATCTTCTTAAGATTATTACAAAAACATTGGAAAAGAGAAAAAGATAATGAAGTTATAACAATTGCAATGAACAATTGAAATAAACTAAACTGACAGTAACTTTGTAATGTCTTTTTCAGACAGTGAATGACACCGAAATACAATATAGAAAAACTGACCGTTTCTTGTCTTTGTTAATAGAAACTGATAAATTATTTTGCTAAAATTCATTTGTTCTGATTCTTCTCTTTCAACTCTAAAAAAGAGGAAAAAAGTTATATTGAAACTACAAACACTACAAACACAAAATTGCTTTTGACCTTCTTTGAAGAACGGCCTTTACTATTATAGCTCATACTTTGAAAAAATTGTACAGTTTTGAAGCATTTGTTTCATGTAAAGTACATGAATGCTTCGCGTAAAGCACATTAAAAAAAAATTAAAATCATTTCAAATTTGTAGGGCCTAAATTCAGCCCGGATCAATTGGGGAATGTCAATTTTTGAGAAAAACAGTTTAGACTGTAGCATTGTTCTCAGACAGAGGAAAATACATTTTGTTATGAACCAATTTTTCAATATCAAGAACTCACAAAAGTGAATTCTGACTTCATAATGCTTTAGAGGAAGAAATTTACTGTTTATAGTATCAAGAATTATTCACATTTTTGGTGTCCAGTGACCCACAATACAATTTTTTCTTTAAAAAAAAGTAATCATCACTTTTCACTCCAATGTTACACTTTCTTTTTACTATGCAAGTATATAGAATATATCTTCAAAAAATATCATAATGCATTTGAAGTACCATATGAAGAAATTTCAAAATAAGGAGCAAAATAATTGAAATAATTTAGGCTAATAAAACAAAAATAATAAAACAATTTATCTGTTACTCTTAGAACTTTTTACCATTGGTTTGAAATAATGACTGAAGTTTAAAACACAAACTTAGGGAAATCTTTGAAATCGGCACTTCGCGCCGATCCGGCGAGGGGAGATTCGTGGTTCACGAGGGGTATTTGTCGGTGTGGGAAGGGGGGTAGTGAGCAATGCTCGTAACATAGTACAACCTGATAAGCAAAGTGGGCGGTTTTGCCGGCGAGGCTGCCGCGCACGTGCTGATCTAAATAATTTGTAAAATTTCTGTGATATATTTTAATGATTCGAAATCGATCATGATTGTGACGTCATAAGTTAGGGTATCTTCTCTGTGCTTCATTATCAAATAGTGCTGCAAACATGGTGGTGTGATCCTGTGACATTGTGTGTCGGGGTAGCTGTCGAAGTTGTTAGTTGTTGTCGTACAGTTACATTGCATGTGCTTTTCTGATTCTTTGTGTTTTGAGTGTCGAGTGTTCGTACAACAGTGGTGTGAATAAATGTGTTTTTTATGCGTTGCACCGAAAGGAGTGTTGTAGTTGAATGGGCACAAAGGCGTGGTTTGATTGCTGCAGGATTTAAGTGTCTTTTGTGTAAATGTCCGATGATGTTGGCCAAGAGAAAGTAGTTGTGAGATCGTTTCGAGAGGAAGTGCAGTAAGAAAGATGCCACCCCTTCCTTATACGTGTGTTCTGTGCGGAAGGGGTCAACTAAGAAGTTTTTGTGGCTCCATCAGGGTGACTTCAATCGTCACGACACGTGAAAGTGGCACATCGGTAAGTTTTATTAATTTCTTTTAGAGCGCTTGGCGTAATTTGAAGGTCTTAAGGAGACTTCCCCTTCTCCTCCCCCCGTCACCACACTTTTGTAAGGGCGTTCTGTACTTTAACCTAAATAATTTCAATGAACTAATAATAGTTTTAAGTTGAAATATTGGTATTGTAAATTGAAAACTATATTTTGAGAAGGCAAAATTCATTTGATTTGCATTACCTGAATTCATTGGAATCTTTTGACAAATGATAAAATTCTTGTTTCCAATATTTGTAAAAAAGATCGAATTGCCACCGAATCTCAAAGTATTCCTCTTAAAAGACAAACGCATCAGGAGAGAATATAAAAGATTTAGAGAAGAACTGGAGAAGTTAGAGAAAAAGTAATATTGAAACATGTTGAAGTTCACTGAAACAAGCAACGTTTGAAGCAGGAAAAGACAGTGCAGGTTATACCCTATTCCAGATAAATAAATGGATGGGACTAGGGAACAATGAATTAAGAACCGGTAAACCTAAACCAAAAAAACGCATGTATAGGACCTACCATCAAACATGATTAAACAATAATATAAAAGATACAAGCCAAAATGAGATGACTCAGTCAATTCCACTGATGAGAATAATGGAGAAAATTGTTTAAAGGAATTGAAATATATCTTAGGTTCCTCAACAAAAATGTTTAAGAAATTTTGAAACTGCAACATACGAACATGAAAGACAAAAATCACATTAGACTGCATTCAAGAAGAAGAGTGGATAAAACACTACCCTATCATGTGGAACAATTGAACTCTCAGAACTGGTTGTTAAAATAATGTGACCAATCGCTCTCCTTTCAGGAGGACATCCCTTCTTACGAGTAGGTTCTGTCCTTCACGAAAAGTGTCCTCCTATCTGTCGTTCGTTTTTATATTTTAATTTTTTAAAATCTCTGTATTCAGAGATCCCGCGCTGAACTGTTGGGCCCGCAACAGACTACACCGAGAACGAGTTTCAAGAAATGTGCGACGAGGAATGTGGAAACCCGAAACAAGGGAAACTCATCGACCCCCACACTCTTGAAAGAGTTTTCTCGTTCGCCTCTACGACGGCGAAAGAGTTCCTCGCTCGAGTCAGCAAGCGAGTTTTCTCAGACACATTTCTACCCCTTCAATTGTTATGACGGCTGAAGTCTAGTATGCGGAACAACTTAAGGATAGTTGTCGAAGTGGTTAGCTACCTTGCTGTCGTATAGTTAAGTTTCTTGCGTTCTTCAGATTCTTTGTGATTTGTGTTTTTGAGTGTCGAGTGTCTCTGCTACGATGATGAGAATAAATGTGGCTTTTTACTACGCGTTGCGCCGAAGGAGGTGTTTGGCTGTCATTGAATGGGTGCAAGAACGTAGTTTGATTGCTGCAGGATGTAAATGTCGGATGAGGTTGGCCAAGCGCAAAGAGTTGTGTGATGGTTTCGAGTGGAAGTGTAGCAAGAAGGGGGCCACTCACGTGCGTAAGTATTCCGTGCGGAAGGGGTCATGGTTCGCGGGAAGCAAGTTGAGTATGATTCAGGTATTAGCAATGACATATCATCGGGTCATAAAACCGTCAGTCAAACCGCCATAAAACTCGTCTTACGGTAAGTTTTACTAATTTCTATCAGAGCGCTTAGCGTAATTTGGGGAAGAGTTTAAGGAGACTCTTCCTCCCCCCTTCCCCTCCTCCTCCGTCACCCCCCCCCTGCTCGCTACTTTAAGGGTGTACTACTTTACCGTGTACCCTACTTTAACCGCTATGATATGTAGGCATTCCTGCAGGAAAATATTAAACAGTGCGTAGAACTGAGGGTGATTATAATATTTAGCAGTAAAAGATATGCTAAACAATCAGATTCTTTTAATTTGTTTGCTTGAATTTTCTCTTTAAACTGAAATGAAAAAGAAAAAACTTGCGTGGAAGATATTCTTACTTGATTGATACCAGCAATATAAAAATAAAAATTTGAAGCAAGAATCTTGAAGGGGTATTTTAAAAGAATTGAATTAATTAATTATTTTTCCTAATTCGTATTTATTATAAAGTAATCATTTTTTTTAATTGTGAATTTTATTATGAATGATTTGATCATTCACCATTTATTCATAATTCAACTAACAAATATAGCAAAACAGTGGGGCTAGAGATTACGAAGCTCAAGAAAATATGCACTGAAAATATGCACTGATCGAGTTACAAAATACCCCCCCATTACGTGCCAAATTATGAAAAATATTATTTTAAGCGCTTCCATCTGAATTTCTGTATACAAGTAGAACACTTTAGAGAAATTCATAGGTGCAAATCAAACTCCAATCAGACAAATAGTTTACGAGATAAACGAGAAACAGAAAAAACCTCAACTGTTCGGGTTACAAAATACTCCCCATTACGTGCCAAATTTCGAAAAATATTAATTTCAGCGTTTACATCTGAAATTCTTTAGACACGTAGAATACTGTAAGAGAAATTCATAGGTGCAAAGCAAACTCCAATCAGACGAATAGTTTACGAGAAAGACGAAAAACAAAAGCAATCTCAACTGATCAAGTAACAAAATACCCCCCTATTACGTGAATTTGGAGAAATAATTATTTTTCGCTTCCATTGGAAATGATGTG